CTAGAAAGTTCAAACTTGGTAGGAGTACAGAGACTGCGATGGGGAAACTTATGGTGGGTGGTAGAACCAGACTCCGCCTAGAAGGGGCGGGGTTTGGGCGAAAATTCATAAGTCCGATAAAGGTCTACAATGAAATCAGCTCATGCGGATCCGTCTCTCACGGCTAGAGCCCCTAGCGCGCGCGAGAGCGTGCGTAGCCGCCTGGTTTTGAGATAAAGTTCCATCAAAATCCCAATGAAGAAGGGATAGGTCATCCATAAATTAGCAGATCGCTTTGTGTCTGACTTATCACTTCTTCTGTAACATTCTGTTGGAACTTTACCTCAAAATGAGGTGTTTAAGAAATTAGTTTGCTCCTGAGACCGCGGACCACAGCAGCAGCCCGCGAAATGAGCGCTCGGTCCCACGCGCCAGACACTCTTGAAAGGGTTAGTATGGGTTAATATACTGCGCTGCTCCAATGGGTTAATATAATGCGCTGTGTTCTTTGATTTGTCGGTGTGTATGTGTGGGTGTCGGTGTGTGTGCTTGACATAAAATCATTACGTCTGTTCCCGTGGACCTAGAGCGTAACAATTCCGTAGGGTACAGGAGGCAGTATGGGAACGCTGGCGGTGGGTGGGAAATGTGTTCTCCGACCAACGGGGCTTGGGCGTGCACAGAAAAAGTGATCAGCAGGAAATTCATGTCTCCTGTTGCCGTGTACCGGGAGAGGTCAAATTTGGTAGGGGTACACGGACTATATGGGGACGCTGACATTGAGTGGCAAGGCTGGACTCCGCTCACACGGGTGGAGGGAGAAGGTAGGGAAAGGAGGGCACGGACAAAGATCGTTAATATGGACTTAGATCGTTAAAATCGATAGACTACAGGCGGCAGGATTAGAACATCCTTACTACTATATACAGTAGCGCTCAAAAGTATTCGGCCAACTTTAACTTGCCGTAACTTTTTTCCCAGTGGAGCAAATCGCATGAAATTTTGATATGTTTAACTGAAGCCTATTTCACACTGTTCACCACTATTTCACTGCAAAGAAGCAATGTCGACTGAGGGGAAGGCGTTTGTAGACAATGCTGAGAGCAAGTTTGTGACGTCTGCAATTATTCCTTATTTGCATTTTTCTCCTCTTCTGTGTTTCGCATTAGCGCTCGTACACTTCGAACATGGCAAAAAGGAAAGAAATCCTAGAAGCACCAATGCCCCTATTTTCAGTTGATTTTGAGTTCAAGCTCTTTGGAATGTTTGAAACATGATCAAAATGCAGATCGGTAGTGGTAAATATTCACACTACACCAACGGTAACATATTGAAATTTCGCTTGATTGATCCAGTAGGAAAGGAGTTACGACTGAAAGGTACGAGTGAATAAGCATTTGGCCCAATACTTGTGAGCGCTACTGCATAAACCACAAATTCCGTTTGTTTGTAGGTTTGTCAGTTTGTTTTCCTGTTTGTCTGTAACACTATCTTATATGGCGCCGTTTGGAAATCAACTGGAACAGCTCAGACAGGTTTCAACAAGTGGGGAATGAGCCGAACCCCTTAGCTACACGTGACTGAAGTTAGACTCCGCCCACAAGGGGGACGGCGAAGTGTAGTTCACCGGAAACCTGCAACTCCTGTTCCCCTGGGCCTAGAGTATTGAAATTTGGCAGAGATGTAGGCGGCAACATGAGGAAATCAAAACCAGGTGGCAAATGTGGACTCCACCCACTAGAGGCGGGGTTTGCGCGGAATAAATGTCTGAGCGGAAACTCATAACTCGGTTTCTGGGGACAGAGAGGGTTCAAACTCGGAGGAGCACAGGCGGCAGGATGGGAGCTCTCACCTTGGGTGGCGGGAAGAGACTCCGCCTACAAGGGGTGGATCTTGTGCAAAAAATGTCAAATGGGACCTGGAGCGCTAAAATTTGGTAGGAGTACAG